AGGTTACCCCGACCCCAGCTTTTCTCTGAAAATGGCTTGACGCTGTTGATGATGACGCTGCACCAAGAGCATGTCAAGACAGCTTGCATCAGAACCAACAAGAACATTCAGAGGAAGACATTCCTGACGCATTTAGAACTCACAGATTAATCTTTCATTGTGTGAAACTTGACTTTAGGAGGTGGCTGTCTAAAGAGTCAGCGCTATGTTTTTTTTTTAATGGAGGAAATATTGTGGGTTCCTCTCGGCTTGTGTAGAAAAAAGGCTGGCTATACAATACACATCTGTTTATGTGACAATATTGATCATTTTCCTGTTGAAAAATCAAAGATACTAAATCTTACCCATCAATTTTCCTGGCCTTGCAAATATAACCAGAACATGACTGTTTATGTTTTTTTTTTTTTTTTGTGTTGGTTCACCGCATGTGTGTAATTAACTTTTTGAATTGGGATATTTTTTGTTGCAACAATTTAGATATGGGATTCTAGCTACAGTCAGAACCATTTTGATAGTTTTAATAATGAAGCAGTAAAAATACTGTTTCATTTTTCCTCAAAGGGATAGGTTGTCAAAAAAAAAAAAAAAACAGAAATGGGATTGTTATTTACAATCTGTGTGTACATAAGAAAAAGAAAAAAACTTTCATGGAACCGAATTAGACATGGGGTTGGATTGATTTTCATGTTTTTATATATTTTGGCATCAACAATATGATGTAATGGTTTTAATATTATAACAGCTATGGTGCTGTTAGTGTGTATGTTGCCTAATCAAAAATGAATTACAGTGCTGAAAAAAATGAATCATGTTTAAGATAATAAAGCGACAGTGTAACGCTTATTAAGCCACAGACTTCCATTTTAAATGTTTATTATCCCTCATAATAACTTGGAAAGTGTTCTTCACAGTGAACATCAAAGGGACCTCATGAAAGAGTTCATTTATGTTGAATCGTTACTGTTATGTGGTGTCTTGATTTATTGAACACTCATATGAAAACTGGTATTTTCCTTAAAAATACAGAATGACTCATTTGCCAAACTTAAAGAGTTGTAAAGTGCGAACATGAAGGCTTAAGAAGAAAGAGGAAGGGGACAGTTCATGTTTTCACAGTGTTAAGCTGTCAAAGCTTTAAAAAAATGTTTCTCTTTGTCTGCTCAGTCCTTGAGTCCAGGCAAGAATTATTCTGCTTTCATGTGCCTTTGTCAGTCCAATTTGCAATGTTCTGGGATGCAGTCATAAATATGTTGAAAAGACGGCGTTCTTAGCACCCAGACTAGAAAGGAATGCTTATTCTGTCTAAAAGACGACTTTACACCTACTTTAGTTATTGCCTCTGTTCAGGATTCAGCCCTTTGCATCCTAATGAACTATTTCCAAAAACCTCTGAAAAGGTGTGGAGAGGTTGCTTTTAAGAGACTGATGCCATGTTTGTTTCAAGAGTGTGATTAACTCGGAGTAAAATAAGAGTCAAAACTTTCAAAATGTCCACCTCCTTGGGCTCCAGATAGCCAAGCGTTTATATTGCACTCTTAGGCGCCCAAGGTGCCACTCTGACCCTTGGGTGGGATATTGTTTTCATGTGTTTTGTGTTCTCTTCCTGTTTTATTTTGTAGTCTACCGCTTTTGTATCACACCTATAGCCCAATCTTGATGTCCACGCTCAAATCATCAAGCGCATGAGGAATCTCTCACTGACTTTTTTCGAGCCTTTTATGCACCCTGTCTGTAAGTGGGCATATCTGCAGACTTAGGGAATTACCCATAGTTCATAGCTTTGTGACGTGATACTTCTGATTCCCAGGGGAAACCCACAAGAATGGTAAACAAACGCATAAAAATGAAAAAAAATGATATTGAGAAACAGATAAAAAGCAGAAAGGTCAAACCACGCTCTACAGTCTACCAGAAAAGTACATTTGGAAACTACAGCTAATTCAGAACTCTACTGCAGGTCTTTTAACAAAAACAAGAGAGCATATTAGCCTATAAGATAAGATAACCCTTTAATTATCCCCAAGAGCTTTTTATAAGCGCCATGGCTGTGAATGCCACATGAAATCATGCAGTCATGGTTTCAGAGAAGCCGCTAAGTGCTGTCCCATTCTTATTAAACCATTGGAGCCCTTGCAGCCTCGTGCATTCAATCACTTTCTAGGTGAGGTCAATTAATTCCGTGAGGGCTCAGGGTTTAGGGAGGACATTGAGATTCACCCCTTGTCTTACTTCCAGCCTTTGTTCTGTTTCCCTCCTTTATTCTTCACACACCTGTGTCTCACCTGCAATTAGTCTGACCTGTATGTATACCGCTGTGTTTCCACCAGCCCTCTGCCAGATTGTCTCTGACTGTCATGTCAGATTGTCAGACTGTCTCCTTAGTGTGTTCATGCTTTCCAACCTTTTTTTCCCCTTGTGTTTGCTTGCCTGGTTTTGAGCTTTCTTTGGATTTTCTTGGGGATATCGTGGATTTGCCCTTGTTGGATTTTGCAGTCCTCGCCGACTGTCTTTCTGTGTATGACCTACGAATGTTTAAGTAAAAGAACTTTTTATTACAAACCATTTTTTTTGTGTCCTGGACTTCTGAGAGGAGTTTTGAATTGTTACAGCTGGCACTTTGCTGCATGTCATTTCCCATTCTCTCATCCCGGTTTCCTACATTATCCACTGTCATGCACTATACTAAGGGTTTCTTACACTATCCACTTTCTGTCTATATAATAAGGGTGAAAGCACCAAAATAATATTTTTGTACGTCTTCAAGCCTAACCACATTATATCTGACTATACACAAAACTGTAGGATTTGTGTCAAAATATGATGGTACCTAGCTGAATCTGTGTCCAATTATTAAAAAAAAACTTTATTACCATAAATATTTCCAACAGTTATCAAAGCCAGAGAAATCCTTAATTTTATGGTTGAACGGGACACGCAGCAGCCGCCATGACAGAGAAAACATGTTTATCGTTGCCGTGGAAACACCAGCTGTTATGTCAAACACCAATAAGGATGCGAGAACTGTTCCTGAAAGCTGCCGTACTGTTGCTGTATGGGCTACTGTGAGAAAAAGACTTTTCAGCAAATAATGCGTGGACACATTACCTCACCAGTAAACATATTCTCTTCCTCCGATGTGTTTCAGCCGTTTGTCTTTACTACGGTCAACTCAACTATGGGTGGAGTAACAGAGAGGACTCGCTCCCATTAAATCCATACAGCCTCTACGTCATCTTTTATTTTTGTTTTGAATGAGAACCCCCTGGAAGTGGAATTGACAAACTGTGTGTTTAATGTTGAAGCATTATGTTAAAAGACAATACATTTTTTCTTATGAATGTGTCAAATCTGAAATTATTTAGACACTAGTTTGAACATGAGGTCAATATTTAGCTTGTTCATGAATTGGATCAGATATTATTGCTTCCAGTCCAAAATTCTTTCTTGGCCCGTGCTACAATAAAATTGGGCCCATTGCACAGGAAACATTACCCACTGATGGAGGAAATAAGGAGGAATTCAGTAAACATCTTCCCAGCATGAGGCTCAAATGCATCGATAGCAGCAATGATAAAACATTTTCCTCTGACTGAGCTGTTGCATTAACGGCATCCTGCTGCTCGTGCTGCCCTCCACAGCTCAGCGCCTAGATATGATAATATTTAGCTGGCATTTTCTAGGTTTACACTTTGCTGTCACCAACATTGCGGTGACGGCCCTGTTTTAGTTAAGCTGTTTAAAGGAACCTCTGATGCCACCAAAAGATGAATGAACAAAAAAGAAGACTGTTTTTGGTGCTCATCTCAAAGCCTGGTTCAGCTACAGCTACAGTTAAAAAGTGAAAGAAATAGTCATGTCTTATGACTTTCTGCGACAACACGTTTTGGATTCAACATTGAATTGGAAAGAAATTGCATTGTTATTATTATCAGAGGGTTAAATCACATTTTTCTTTACTGCTTACACCACAAAAAGTCAGAGCTCAATGACACACAGACAGAAAATTAACCATTAAAGGAGCAATATGTAACTCTGACACATCGCGTTTAAAATGAATACTGCAGTCCAAATTCAAAACATCCTCCCTAGACTCACACACAGGTTGCATATTTAGGACACGGAAGCCAACTTTGTCCTCTGAGGTGAACGGTAGTTGTGGAGGTAGGAAGATGGTCATTGTTGGTGTCTAAGAAATAATAAAACATACACAGTTAGTCTGATGGAGCCTGCGAGTTGTTGCCATGGTTGCTGCCTATTCTTTTTGCTTTTTGGCAGAATTGTAGACCAACTATGTGCATACTGCCACCTGCTATATCAGATTATGTAATTACATAAGTGGACACCGGCACCAGATGATAACTAATGTTAACGCATACCAGAGGGGGAGAATGGAGGGAGGAGCAATTGTGCTCAAGCATGGAACGAAAAGTCTGTGCCTAATGTGAAAACGTCCTAAAAGAGCACTTGAAAGTGCATATCTGTTAATGTGCCTGTTAAGGTGTACACTTGAAAGTGTGAACTTGAAAAAGTGTTGTTAAAATGGAAACTTTGACACATTCAGAATCAGGATCTAAATCCCAGTCTCTTGTGAGATCTAGGAGGTGATTGCACATGTCAATACAATGAAATCAGGAAAGCTAATTAGTTGTAAGTAAATGTAGTTTTTACTTTAGGAGACAGGGCCGTCAAGCCAGATTTTTAACGCGCATTTTAACCTTTATTTGTGGTTAGAGCAGATGAAAATCAGAATGTCAATATCTGTCACAGCTGAGCACTATCTGCAGGCACAGATAATGTACGAGTCAATAATGGCACAGAGTAGTAGGAGAGAGTCATACAGGAGTTTGCACAAGAAGCCAGGTCACTGACAATGTCACTCTGCCTCACAGCAGCGGTGCCTGGAGTGCTGAGTGAAATTTTCTAGTGGCTTGGTGAGCAGATAACAGATATGATGTATTTCCTGGGTGGCCCTGACCCCTTTCTGTCTTCCCCATCTCCAGGTAACCTCTCCAAAACCTGCACAGCAGACGGCTGGACTGAGATGCATCCTTTCGACATCGCCGTGAACTGTGGGTACAATCTCAACGGCACTAGTGATGATGTGAGTAAATGTTAGAGAGAGAAACCCAGTGGTACCTTGTTAATGCACTCGCTGCAGCTCAGTGTGACACTGGGAAACCATCACGAGAGCCAGTGGGCAAGTTTCATTTTCTTTGTGTGTGTGTGTGTGTGTGTGTGTGTGTCAGAGGGAGGCTATCTACAATATGACCACGTCCATTGTTTGTTTTTTTCCCTTTCTGGCTTCATTCAATCCTTTTGCAAGTTCTTTTAAGCAGGAAATATATTTTTCTTTTTCTAAAAGCAACAGAATTGAATATGTTGTATCTGAACGCAGTTTGTATAGCACATAAAGAGAAAAATATTTTTGTATGAATCTTCAGAAATACCTAGAACTACATGTTCTGCTCCACAACTCCCAGTTAGAAAGATCTTCCTCTTTACAGCAAAGTGCTCCTCTTTATTTGAAAAAAGACAAAGATACTTCACATGTATTTATAACTATCGTCTAGCCTTTTGAACCTGCAGGCAAGCAAGTAATCAAAAGCGGTAGGAAAGCAATTCGGCACATTGTTACCAATGTTTATAATTCCTGCCTCTGTCATCGGGAATTATGGGTCACTAGAGGTTATTCATGTTGCCTTAAGGGTCTGGAATAAATAAATATATAATAAATATAAATAAATATGTCTTTATATATGTCTTTACTTTTGTTTTTGGAAGTTGAATAAAGAGAGAGCTAGTTTAGCCTGATGATGAAGGTGGAGCAGGATGAAAAGTGGATGATGTGCACTGCAGGGTGGTAAAAGCTTTCTTTGTAGGCACTTTACTGCCTTCTGTCTGATTCAGCCTCATTAGTATGCCACATAGGAGCACAGCAGGGACCCGGCTGGTGAAGTTCTCTAAAAGGAATTTTATGTCCGTCTTTCCACATACTTGATACGTGCATGTGCTGCAGGAGGCAGAGCTTTTTAATCTGCATTTTCATCAAGCACGGAGCATGCAGTGTCTTGGCAGCAACATTGTTGAGCTATCCTGAAAGACTCCACATGTTCAAAGTCAGAGCTTTCTGAAACCCAGAGTATCTACCTATTTACGATGACAGCAGCTGTTAGGTTTGATCACATTGGGCGGTGTAGATGATTTTATTGGTTTCTTGGGGGGTAAGGAAGAGATCTCTCTTCAGGAAGTCTTCATAAAGTCATTGAAGTGTTTTTTTCAGTGAATAAAGTTCAAGAGAGAGATTCTGAGGTACTGAAAGAGGAGAAACTGTTCCTGCTTCTGATCTTCTCTTGATCCCTTTCGCAAGTGTTACCTTACTTTATTAGTAAACCGCGTCCTTTAGTGAGCCATTATTTTTGAAGTAGTTTGAACAAAAACAATTGCATTCCAAATTTATATTAACTCACATCGACTCACATTGACTTCCCCGTGGTATTTACGGGGGTGTTTCTGATCATATGACATGATCCGAATCAGCAGGTGGATTTTTTTGTACCAAGTTTTTGTTTCCACCTCACGTGTGTGCATGCATTCTGTGAGTTTGGCTCGATCCGACGGCATGCACCATACCCATAGACTGTATAAAGCATGGACGTAGTTTCAGTGAAACCACCCATTTGTTTATGAAGCAGACTCTTTGAGACCCACTGAAACGCTGTCTCTATCAAACTTTCGGTCCACCTAGTAGCAAGAGGAAAAGAGGTGGAGCTGAGGCGGACCTTCAGCCTCCTGACAAACAGCTACACGTGCCCATCAGTCAGTTCAGCAACGCCCCTAATTATGAATAACTCTTTGCCTCAATATCTTAAAAACAGATGAGAAAAAGTTCACACCCTTTACAGTGTGGGCCAATAAACAACTGAGCTATTCAGACTAACTCTTTTTTTGTTTTTACCAGACATGAACATATATATTTCGAATAAAATATGCAAAAAATAAATAAATCTACTTGTAGGAAATAGACATGCAGACATGTGTGAACAGTATGTGACCGTTTGGGACTTTGCAGACAGCCTCAAGTGGACATGTGGATGTATTATCAGCGAAATGTGTTAAAAGCAGCCCACCAAAATGAAAGGACTTTTCTTAATTATACTGAGCATGTGTAAGTTGTGTGTTGATGCTGTTTATGTTTGAGATAAGGATCATTTTAACTACATCATAAAATTATGAATTTAATTTCAAATCATTATCCACTGTACAATCTATATCTGTAGGATTAATGGAGCCAAATGTAAATAAATGATCCATCCCTTTTATGACAAATATGCAATACAAATATGTAACATACAGGACTCATATCAATGTTTTTTTTTCTTTAGGGCAAGTTTTTCTGGCAGGTGAAGATCGGCTACACTATCGGCCACAGTGTTTCCCTCATCTCTCTCACCACAGCTATCGTGATCCTCTGCATCTTCAGGTATGTACCAATGCAAAAACAAAGCCTTTTTGAAATGGAAAAGTGATGTATGTTTTAAATCTGGCTAAAAGAAGTTCTGCGCTGGAATTTGCTTTATTGACTTTAGTGATATTTCCTCGCCTCAAGCGGTGAAGTGTTTAGAAAAGGGATAGAATAAAGAACATTAAACAAAGAGAGACAGCACTGCAGGACCCCCCGTGTATAGCATTAGGAGAGCTATTTACCATAACGCACACTGACATTGACATTATTCCTGCTGGGAGATGTGATAAGGACAACATGACAGTTTAATAATTTCAGTGTCACACATCAAACACTGGGATTGAATGACCTCTGATCAGTGCTGGGCACATATAGAAGGATTATGTAAAACTGTTAAAGACAAGAAGAAATATACAACACACTTTCTGAATGAAATCAATCACACTAACTATTACTTTGATCCATTTGGGTGTCTTGATCCTTTGATAGCAGATATCTGAGGCGCTTTGGAGATGATGGGATTGAAGTTTGGTGGGATTTAAGGTGACAGATGTGTTTCCAATTTGACAAGCTAGGGACTGATTGTGAGCTCCTCAAAGACAATGGCAGTTTTGATGGCAGAGATCACAGCTTAAGACTGTATATACTTTACCCTAAAGAACACAAATAGACCATATAAATGTGCATATCTTTTAAAGACTTATGGATGGAAAACACTTTTCTTTATTATCTGCAATTTCTCTGAGTCAGATGGATTAGATTCAAACTTTGAACCCAACACAACATTGATAGACGATATGAAATGTAAAAAAAAAAGACTGATTGTGCAGATTTGTGAATATATTTATTCTTCTGATCATCTTTTAGTCACTGAAAACATTAAAACAGCCTTTTTGACATACACTCCTGAAAATTTCTACAGAATTCAAGGCGGACTGCCCCTGAAATTCTCCTGATCTGGTCGTTCAGGGGTCTCCTGAGGTGCTGACATAAAAAAAAAGATGTGAAAGTGACAGGTGACGCAACAGAGTCCGTTATAAGACACTGTAATGAGAATATTGGCCTTTGTATAAATGCTATGTGTAATGACAGAATCGGGATTTCCTCAAAATAGTAAAGAAGAGCACACCGGCCAACAGAAAATATCAACAACAGCAGTTTTGCTATATACAAAGTGATCGCACCAGTCGCTTGAATAAATGTCACCATCCCCGCCCACTGGCTCGAGGTGAATTCTCCTAATTACAGTACATCCTTCTGTGTTCTCACATCAGCTAGAAAAAAAACTACGGGGCTGCCAGGAAAAAGTCGGCTGTTTGCGTTCACACATACGGCTCGCCCCCTGAAAAACATTTTTTCAGGAGTTTTGTGCGCGTGTGAACAAGCTAGATATCTGATTTGCTGCACAGTTCCCCACATTTGTGCTCTGATATCTCTGCTCACATTAATTTCTTTGTCTTCTTAGCAGAAGTAAATGAATGTGCGGGTAGCCAGACAGCTTAATGTTGAGTAGGTCTTTTAGTGCTGGTAGATTTTTGTTTAAACATTTTATGAGATTTTGAACGAGTTAAGTTGACTTCTGGAACAGGACCTGGCAGTTTGGTTTCACTTTTGGCTCTCTATGTACAGTTGGAGTTTATGGTATACGTTTTTAAGCTGTAAATAGCACGCCGTGTGTTCGAGAATACATACTGTAAATACTAGAATGATTTTACAAGGCCTACAAGCTACGAAATGTGATGTTTTTATGATCCCTGTGATTTGCTGGCATTAAATAATCAATAACAAATTTATCAGAAAATGACAGTCTGTGATAACACATGCTCACATTACCAACACATTGACTGAGATTCAATCTCACAGTTGCGTCTGAAATAGGAAATACAAATAAAAACAGTTGGGATTTCAACACTGATTTATTCATATTAATACTGAGTTCATATTCATATTAAGCCAAAAGCAATCTCTAAATGTTATTTAACACTATTATAGCTGAACTAATTATTGAAATAACCTTGTGAGGTCAAAATCTGAATAACAGCAGATAGCAGTAGTCGTTTCAAACAGCAGTGACAGAATGTGAACATGCTGTCCCTGCTGTCAGATGGGGTTAGATGAAACTTTAATGAAACAGGAGGCGATATCAACTGGCTGGGCACATGCTGCTTCACAGCAGGATATTTATTCACTCGCACTGAGAACAAGCAGCATGAGTTTCTGTAAACGCTTGCAAGTCCCCAATCATTTAATCAAGTATGAAAATGGAATTGGGAAGTCAAGCAGTAATTTAAAAATAGATGCTTTTTTAAATGTTTCTGATTGGTCATTTTGAAGTCCAATCATCTTGTCTTTATTGGTGGTGTGTGTGAATGGCCATAAATAGTGTCCAATTTGCTCCACACACACAACGATAAATGGAACTAATTGGCTATAATTGTGATTAAGTCTTTCTGTTATTGTCTGGCGTTTTAAGCTATTAACTCCAATGACATTGGGTAATAAGCATGAAGTGCCCTTGTGTTTCTCTCTCGGTCTTGTTCTGTATTCTTGTATCTCTGTCTGTGCCTCGCAGGAAACTTCACTGCACGAGGAACTACATCCACATGCATCTGTTTGTGTCGTTCATCCTGAAGGCCATAGCTGTGTTCGTCAAGGACGTTGTTCTGTACGAGGTCGGCGAGGTGGACAACTGCTCCACGGGCTCTGTGAGTTCATTATCTAAGACGCCGCTGTTTGTTGTGGGAGCTTCCAGATGAATGACTCAGGTGTTTTTTTTGTTTTTTTTTGGTGTCCCTGAGCCATGACGAAATCAAACTCTCGCACAAGCTCAGCAGGAGAGTGTGACAAACAGGGTGTGCCGGCGTGTTGCAGAGCTGCTAATTATTCGCATCAAACCCCCTAATGAGAGATCTATACAGGGGATGGAATTATAAATATATCCACTGATCCACTAAGGACAAAATCAAGTCAAGGTTTAGATTACTATTTTTTTCACCAAGTTTTCACTGCACATACAAACTTCAAGCATTAGTTCAATTTCACAATGCGAAGCTGGAAACTGCCCCAGGTAATCAGAACTTCAGAGGCCATTCAATTACCCATCTGTCTTTGCTTTAATTTAGTTTGGGAATATTCAGCACAGAAGTATAATATTGATTGACGTATTGAGGTTGGTTCTACTTTGTTGCCTTACCTGGAGGCGCTGTCTGGAGGAGGGTCTCCATGGGGAAAACTGACTTTTGAGCCCGCAATTATCAAAGTTTTGTTCCTTATATTCCTAAAATAAGGTGTTTAATCTAAAAGTAATAAAAAAAACAGAAAAAACAAATGACATTTTAAAAGCTGAATGTTGCACCTCGAGATTACTTCTGCTGTTACTTCCTTTTTACTGCCAGTGAATGCCTTCTTCATTTACACTACAGTTTCAAGCATATTATACGATATGATCAAAGAACTATGACAGAGTAAGACTTTTTACTTCTTATTATGGATCAAAACTCTGGACCACACTGCCCATTCATTTGTAACAGCTTGAACTTTTCACAAAGGATATCTTGAGGCTTATAACTGTTGGGATTTCATTATTTTCTGAAATTCTTTTTGCACAACCGCTGATTGAAAAAGATTGTCTGCGCTTCAGTATTACAGACTATAGTCTGATGCTGTTATTTTAACTCCATGGGACAAATATTACTGTTACTGTTGCTTAGTTTCTGTGACTACGCTTTAGTTGTGATTTGACACAGTGGCAGGGATTGGGTTTAAAATCATGTTAAGGACCAGTTTTACTTTCCAACCCAAACAAATATTACCCAAACAGTCCTGTCATTCAAATGCCAATTGCCAGCCAGCAAGTATTGTAAACAGGGTAGAATTCTGGTGTTCAGTTGCCTGTGGGGATGGTTGAATCTGCACAGAGGTCCAAAATTTGGCTCCATTTTACCAAAGCAAAAAATAAGGAGGAAGAGAAATGCAATTTGTTCTGCAAAATAATTTATTTCAAGGGGGTATTACAACCTCCATGGCCAAACTCATCAGCATTATGCATCAAATTAAACCTAAAGTGTAACACCTGCGACTGTTTCCATGCTGAATAAACTCTGCCACAGGACGTCTTCCTTCCTCACCCAAGCACCCCACGCAGCTGTGGTTAGCGCACCCAAAACTTTGTAGCAAGCTCTGTAAAAATATTAATCCATGTTGAACTCAGCCGGATAAAAGCAAGCAACCTAACTAAACAAGGGGAATCTCAAAAATGGCTGTGAAAGGAAACTACTGTTATTTTTGAATGTAAGAGACACACTGGTCTTAAACTTCTGGTAAACAAATAATCATTTAAAAGATAAATGTTCTCATGAACACTACCCAGTAAATACTGTATATATTTTTGAACCATCTTCATATATTTTGACAAGCAATCCAGATGCATATGCTGTATTGTATGTTTGTGTCTGTACACAGAGAGCATTGCACACTGGAGTCAAATTCCAGTGAAAAAACAAGTGACTCTATAAAACTGCCACGAAAGACAGAACTACATGAACCAGTCGCTGACAATGTGGAAGAAAGTCCTTAAAAAAATGACTGTCTTGGAAGTTTATATTTGGAGTTATGTCAAACCACAATGTTTGGACGTCTTCCTATCAGCTATTACACACCACCACCACCTCCACCTCCACCCGGCCACCCAACCACTAAACCGTTGAACTGCAGATCGCAGGCCCCTCAGGCCAGATAGGCATGAGAACATGAGGTTTATATGATTTATATGATGTGAACACATGACCAGAGGAGCCTCACAGTGTGTTTATGAGCACGCTGTCTGAACAGCTCCATTGTGTTAATACAAGTGCTGGTGTTAACAGGAGCCAGCTGCTGTCATTCCTCGGCTGAAAAAAAAAGATGTTATAGAATGTTTTAGTCCTACAGTGCTCCTCATGACCCCGAAGCTCATTACATTCATTACAACTGTTGGCTGAGTTACTGCTGTTTGTCTGTGTCCATGTTTGTTTAGGTGTTCTGCATGCATGGTTTATTATTCATCTTCTACAGTTGGACGTGTGCTCTAAGTACCCATAAATGAATGTATTTTAGGGAAGCCTGGAAGCCATATCAAATGCATTATTATAGATACATGTGCTTCTGTCACACTGTATATGTGTGTTACATCATACACCCACATGCCACTATTTGCAGGCAATTTAAAATAAGGACCCTGCTAACAACGTGTGCTTATTCGCACATGTTACAACTATCAGAAAAGTCAGGGCAGCTCAGACACTGTCGGTCCTTTTTCCATCCCTCAACATGAAAGTGTAACTTGTATTTTCTTCCAAATCCCTGTCAGCCTCAGCTGCTGTAACAAGCCATCTGAAACATAAACTTCACGTGCAAAGACATAGATTCTCAAAACAAATGCAGGAGGTTATTTTATCGAGTGTGTGTCCATTTTCACCGGAATTGCAGGCGTGTTTCATTTATCAAGCAAACATTTACAAGAAGCAGAGCAGATGTTGAAGGAGTCAGGAAGGCTCGTCCTTATATCAGTTGCAGGAGAAGTATGCAGAGTTTCCAGCTATGTATATGTAGCAATACTTATACTGTACATGTGCTGTATCAATATTTATACTGTATCAATATTTATATATAAGCTTTTCTCATAACTGTTAGGCACTACTTCAATATAGATCAACTGAATAACAAACTAGCTCATTAACATCTATGATTTGAATAAAAGTTAAGAGGGGAAAATACTTGTTCATGTCTTCCTCTGAAAGAAGACCGCCCCACTTTTTTGGTTTTAATGATGTTAAATAATTAATGTTAATGCTGTACTTTGTCAGCATGTATTGTATCCCTGAGGAAGAATTTTAATCCTTCATTGGATTTATTAAAAGTCAATTGTGTGAAAGATTGGATCCTCTGCAAACAACAACTGTTAAATAATTGTTGTGGGGTTAAAAATCAATATCCTCCTCTAAAATGTGGAACGTTTTAGGACTTAGTTAAGTCACTATAAATATATTATGAGAAACCCGTTTAGATGTGCTCTAAATTGAATGTGTCATGATCTAACTTTGGATAGATTTGAACAAATGTAAAAAAAATAGAGGTGATAGTATAGTTTAATAGTATAGTACCTTTGGGAAAAAAATTATCTGACAGGACCCACAGTATCATCTGGAAAACGTTGAAATATTCTGCACTAAAGTGTGAATGAGAAGTAGTTTGAGGTTCTTCAGTCTACATCGATGATTCATGAAGCTCGTGTAACAAGAAGTCCTGCTCCTCTGCCGGGGCTCGGGCTTCGTACACCTGAGTTCATTATTCATGCAGCATTTGTCTGCTCATCTGTCATTTTTAGCACTTCCTGATGAGACATATGGGGAGGCACTTTAGCTGTTACATCATGATGTTTGTCCTGCTTTAGTGTCTGTGGGTTGAGCTCAGTTTGTAGTTGCAGTTTTTTTTTTTTTTTAGCCGCATTCATATTCACACTGTTTTGTTTATTTTCTCATTCTTCACACTCTGTCCTCGAAATGTAAGAAATGTCCATGATGTGCTTCAGACCATTCCTAACAACACTGTGTGCTTTTCACCTGCTTCCCTATTCATCCCATCTCTCATATGTGCCACAGCTGCTGAAGTTCTGTACACATTCACTCTCACAGGGTCATTTTTTAATGGGCATGGTATTGATTTTTCTCTGAGTGATGCCCTCCCTGCAGGATCTCTGGGGTGCTCGTCCCAAAACGGCTTGTTTGTGGCTAACCTCGGACCTACACAGTGAGAGCACAATGAATTACAGGCTGTGAAGAGCCAAAGACATCATCTAAGCCCACCCAAAACATTAGAAAAATCAACCGTGTACGTGTATTTGAGATTCTTGCAGCATGGATGCTATAAACGCTCGGCACAACCAGAGTACAGCCGATTGTGTTATCCTACCAGGTTGTTTCAGAAACCCTCTCTTGTCTGTTTAACTTCTGCATATTTTAGGTTTTTCTTCCATTGGTGGGATAGAGATTGAGCTTCCATTTTATCTTCTGCCTTTGATAGCACAAAATATGGTTTATGTTGCACTGAACGCAGTTTGATAAAGACTCTGAAATTCTTCAGAAATGATAAAGTTGAACAAAATAAGAATGAGAAGTTAGCATATATGGATGGAACCAATGGATTAACGTTGTTTATTTATGTGTTGTAAATTAGTTGGAAGTCAAGAAGTTAGAAGTAAAAAGAGTTTAATGGTGCATTCCATTTGATCTCAGAAGTCGGAAATTCTGAGTTGCCAGTCTGATGAATCATCAGGAACGCCCGCTGAAGTCTGAATAATGACTCAGAAACTCGGAGGAACTTCAGTGGCCCAAGTTAAAATCCAACATGGCTGCTATGTGCATCAACAGTAAAGTTACAGCTATGCGTTTGTGTTTATTGCCAACCATGTTTTATTTTTCTTTTGTAATTAAATCGATTAAACCAATAGCATTGTAAAAATTATATTATGGGACATGTTGTTTTGTTGCTTTTGCCTGCAATCTATCACGTATTGTGTTATCGGCTGGTGCTAACAAACCAAAGGTACTACTGGAGGCGTTCATGTTGCTTGTTCCACTTGTTGCCAACTCGTAACTGTAACACGGTCAACTCGGGGGTGAAGTCATTCCCAGCTCCGACTTCTGAGGTAAATGAAACGCACCATAAATCTTTAGATCAAGATTTTCTCACTGTTTATATTTTTTTTATCCCTGAAACAAAAGTAGATTAGACTCCAGTTTACCATCATATGAAGCGAGTTTTACATTAAAGAGTAAAAAAATTAACAAACACTAATGACGCTAAAAGCACTCGGATAAGCAAACCTGTCCTAAAATTATAGTTTTATAATCTTTCAACACACTCAAACAATTCTGCCCTGAAATCTGATATGTTAACTCAAAGTTTAATTCATTCATTCATGATTGAGGGTTTCCATATTTGTCATGTGGAGTACATCACCACCTCTCATTCATCTACTTTGAAACTTCTCTTTTGGCTGCTGAAGTCGGTTTACTTTATGAATAAGTGCTTATTAACAGGCTCTGGCTAATAATTGTGACAAAGTCTTCAGCAACATATGAATTATGATACTGATTTACATCTGGGATGAAGTTCAGAGTCATTCGATTTCATTAGTGAAAGGAGCTGTGGTGCTGAGCCCGTCACTGTTTAATAAGCTGTAAAATATGCGGTTACAAATGTTTATAAGACATCAATAAAATATTCCAAACATCAAGTTAGGATTCATAATAGATGAAGTAATAATGAGTTTCTCACAGCCAACAGGAAAAAACACTAATCGCAAGTGTTAAGACATCAATCAAGTTTTATTATAAGCAACGTCTGCAGATGTAAATGTAAGTTGTTGTTTTGATACGTAGGAAGATAACCAAACAGCCCAGAGGATGTTCTTCTTAATCGTTAAAACTGACCTTTAAAGAATTCAATTATTTATAAACCAATAAAAATCCATTAAACACTTTATATAAGGGGACGCTTGTGTAGTGGTACTGATGAAAATCTTCTAATTGACATTAATTGTATCCAGATGCATCAGTTTAAGGAATTCAGTTTTTTTTTAAAGACACTCAGCATGTTCAAATCATATTCCCTTTTGTACTTGATGACATATTATTCAGGCTGAGTCATGGAATGGCTTTGGAGACATTTCTACTGTTAGACTCATTAAAGACAATAAAACATCTAATATATGCCCATTAATGACTTATTTTAATATGAAGATTAACCTTTTTATATCACGTTACAATCAGCCCGTCAGGGTTTTCTATTCACTGAGGACAAAGAGGTGTTCTGGGTGTGATTAACCTGTAATTGGAATGCTTGTCAGCTCAACGCGTGTTGCCCTGGCCCCATGGGACCGCAGAGTTAACGGTGCTCTCGTGGTAAAGTGACAGGAACTCATGCAAATGTATGCATTGTGTTGTCGCATGTATGGCCAAATCCCAAAGCAAAAACACTTCTGAATACAGACAGCCTTCGCCCTTAAGAAAAGAAAATCAATAAGTGCATTTTTCCATTTTTCTAATTGTTGTTGCTGCAGTTCTGCTTCTATAGGAAATCAAACTGCACCCTCAAAAGATGGTAATCTTCTTGTTCGACATATACAGTATCCATTGAGAGCACTGTGACATTTATCCCTTTTGTGCTCTGTGTCCATCATCAGGTTGGCTGCAAAGTAGTAATTGTGTTCTTCCAGTACTGCATAATGGCCAGTTTCTTCTGGCTGCTGGTGGAAGGTCTTTATCTTCACGCTCTGTTGGCTGTTTCTTTCTTCTCTGAGAGGAAGTACTTCTGGGCCTACATCTTGATCGGCTGGGGTGAGAACCTCTTCCTCATGTACCTTTTATATTCCTCTTTCATGCTCCTCTGATGACTAAGGTTGTGAGACCTAAGGGATACAATAGTTACTTTAATGCACACTTTTATATCTGTTTTTGTCCCAAGGTGGTCCCACTGTTTTCATCACAGCTTGGAGCATCGCCAAAGCTTATTATAACGACGTGGGGTAAGATAAAAAAAAACACGGGACTGCCAGACTAGAGGCGAGGATAAAATCTCTAATTAGTCCCTGATTTGCTGCATCTTTAAGGCGACTATTGTTTTTCACGCTGCCACAGGTGCTGGGATATTATCGAGAACACTGATGTCTTCTGGTGGATCATTAAAACGCCTATTTTGGCATCAATCCTGGTTGGTTTACAAGCTTTGAGTACTTTTTCAACAATTCCAGTTTGTCAACATCTGAAGTCAGTTTTTTCCACACACAAGTAATCACAGAATAACATCAGTCATATTCAGTGTAGTATTTAACATGAAGCCTTTAAACTCTTTTTAAAATTCATAATGTATGTCAACACCACTGAGAGGTTGGTATGTCCTCAACACAGGACATACCAACCTCGGGAGTTAGCATAGAGCATTTTAGTTTACTGTGTTAGTAAACTCAGGCGCTGCAGTGCTACATGCTCAATGAACTGCAAGCATAACTGAAGAATGGTTCTTTATTCAACTAAACGACATATTAATGAATCAAAGGGTCCCTAATCTACATTTTCATTATAGTTATAACAAATAACTTTCTACTTTTCATAACATTTGAATTTAAAGTGATGCCCAAAATGGACAATTCTGAGATAATGTTGGCCCTAAGCCCTCTTCCCAGCTCTGTCCTGCTCTTGGCAGCATTTCTTAGCACAGCATGTTTTGGTTTTCTCTCGTGTTCCTTCAGATTAAGATCAGGATCAGCAGCTCGGCTGTCATATCTTCTTGTCCGTCTCCTTGTCGTCCGTCTTTTTCTCTCTCTAGCAGCTGAGTGATGTGAGTGGGGGTTTAAATGTGTAGCCCTTTCAGGGGTCTGACACAAATTTAGTATTTGGAGATGCTCATTTTCCTGTGGGCGAGCAAAATAATCCAATCGTGCAAGAAGAAACCCAACAGCAGGACTCTGTTATGAGAAGCATTTGTAAAACATTCCTTTACATTCATCAGATCAAACACTGAAAACATGTTGAAGCTAATTTAGAGCAAGGCTGGTTCTATTGTTTTATATCAGGGAAATGCACCTGATATTGTTCCTTTCCTCCACAGATGAACTTTATACTGTTTATCTGCATTATAAGAATACTTCGTCAGAAAATCAACTGTCCAGATATTGGAAGAAATGAGTCCAACCAGTACTCGTGAGTATAAAATCCTGTTATTTATATTCTAAATGGTTTTTAATTGAGATGAAAGATAAGATGAGATATAATAATTTCTTATAAGAGTGATAGGAAAAACCTCTCTGCAGGGGATTCAATTTGGTCTATATTCTTTATAAAGTTTTGTGTATTAAAATTGTAAACAAAGATGATCTTGAAAAAGCACAGAAAGCAGAGACTGTATTTGTCCTGTGGTTTCAACTGGTGATGTAAAATTGAATGTTTCTGTGGTTCTTCAAGTTCCTAAGCAATTTAAACTTTAACTCAGAGTGATAAAATCCTTTTGGACCTCAGTAAAGAAAGACACGGTGTACACAGAGATATATTGCAGAGCTCAGTGTATGATTTTGTCCTGTAATGGAGAGCATCTCATGAAAGGTGTTTTTTTTTTTTTTGCAAATTTCTGGTCCTCTGTGCTGAAATGTGAAATGAAAAGTACTCAGCAGTTGCATTCCATTATCAGCGTATAGAGAAAGAGTGAAAATTGGTTTCAGAGGAGGGAGACATGTGAATCTGTTTTTTTTGCTTTGTCGTTGTAGGAGACTGGCGAAATCAACGCTGCTTTTGATTCCTTTGTTTGGCATCAATTTTATCGTGTTTGCATTCATCCCCGAGCAGGTGAAGACTGAGCTACGGCTAGTTTTTGACTTGATTCTCGGGTCATTTCAGGTATGATGTCAGCATTTATGAACAAAAGTTTGAATTCAGTGCCTTGTGAAATGGTTTCCTCAAAGATGAGAAGAACTTCAACACGTTTTTGTTTTTTTTCACTTTTAAATTGAACCTCTACCAGTAATGATTTGGCAACCTGTCAGCCAAGACCTTTGATTGTCTTTATTGAAGAAACCCCTTGCAGAAAATGTGGCAGGTCTCCAGGCACTTTGTGGGCTGAATCAGTGACAGTGTTACTGTTGTAAAACCTGCAGTTATTTCATACCATCGCACAGTCAGGAATGAAGGAGAATGCAGACAAATAGCATGTCTGGAAACTTCCTCCCATCATCCTCCTCCCTGTCTTTCTTTTATAAACCAGCCACATATGCTATGTTTTCAATGTGATTTGTTAATTCATCAAACAAAAGCACTAGCTGTAAAGACAAAGAATAACTTAATGACCCACACCATTAATGCTCTCTTTTCTGTGTGTTTCTTCCATATAGGGATTTGTGGTCGCGGTCCTTTACTGCTTCCTCAACGGAGAGGTAGGTCTCCCCCCCCCACCCCCTTCACAGGGGATGTAAACACTGTTTGTATAAACACACCATTCAGATTACAAGATTTCCCTTCACAGATAGCTCACTGTCTCGTGTAGTACTTCTCAGAAAATGCTGTCAATCTGTATTTTTTCTGTCGCCAATGGTAAATGATTTACATTCACACTCAGTCCTGAAAAAGGTGGGTGGAAATGTGATTGTGAGTCATCATTGTTAGGCGGCCAGGCTGTCTCTCCACCCCTGGACCTCCCCATGGCATTTTTTTTTTTTCCTGCGCTCTGCCTGCAGGGTGGGAGGGCTGCCTTTTGGGCAGGGAGATATTCAGTCATGTCTACAGAGTCTCTCTGTGGACGCATTAGTTATGTTCCCGGAGCTGTGCCAGATTGAATCCCGGATATGGGCTGGATGGCAAGCCTTTACACTATGCTGCATGAATTTTAATCTGCTGCAATTTTCAGGTGTCCTTTGTGAAATGTTAAGTCTCAGTGCAGAAGTATAATAAAGCTGTTAAATGAATGCATGCTCTAGTCTAGAACAATATATGGCGGCTCAAGCACAGTTTGTAAAGGTTGACAGTCCTCCATGCAAAAGCCCCTGGTTAGATTCCAACCCTCGGCCCTGCATTTCATCCTACCTCTCTTTGCTGTATTTCCTGTCAATCATCACTGTCCTAACAATAAAGGCAAAAAAGACCAAAGTATGAATTAAATATAAAAAAGGATGGTTCATTGTCTTGTAATCAAGTTCAATATTGATGCAAAATATTAAGTTGCAGCGAAACACGAGATGTTATACAGAAAAAACAAACAGAAATTGCGGTACTTTTCACACATGTACACGAAACTACATAGAAAAAGTTGGTGATTATCAATTTTTTATCATTTTTTTTATTAGACAAGGAGTTAGCTCAGTAATAACGTTATTAAAAGTTGAATAGTTAGTTGAATCAGTACATCCTATATTTAGAGCAGTGTCATGGACTATTTCTTCATTGTATGTGCTGTGTTTAGAGCTCCAATGATCCCTGACAATATGAATCAAATCCCTGGGTATTTAAAACTTTATGATGACCCAACAAAATTGAAATACAAAAATAGAATTCATTTTCATTATTTTGTTATTTTTTCCCCATCTATTCTATACTGATTAGAGCTCTCAAGAACTGCCCTCAATGTTGTGCTTTGCCTCTCTGCAATGCCTGTCAGCACCTGTGTGTCCAATCGGACTCAAAGATGATCGTTTGCTCTTACTGACATTGTTCCCATCTTTTAGATCCTTGCTTGTGTTGTTCTTACTCTCTGATGTACGTCGCTTTGGATAAAAGCGTCTGCTCAGTGAATTGTAGAATATATTACGTGTTGTATCTAGTTGGCTATAGCTGTTGCTTATGTTATGTTTGGGAGTTTAAAGATCTCATTAACAGTAAAGCTGTTACATAAGATAACCATGTTGCTCTGCACTCTGATCAGAGTTGCAGGAAACATCAGGACTGCATCTCAGTGGGTTTTTTTTCTCCTATTACATTAAAGGTCCAAGGAGAGATCAAGAGGAAGTGGCGGAGATGGCACCTGCAGAGATACATGCGCTCGGACACCAAATACCAGCATCCATCCATCGGCAGCAGCAACAACTTCAGCACCCAGATAACCATGTTGACGCGCTGCAGCCCCAAAACACGCCGCTGCTCATCCTCATGTCACGACGACCTGTCCAGCATATAAAAACACACCGATTAGGACATACCCACTCTCGTGCCAAACTATAAGTGGAAAAGATGAAGCATACTTAGGCTTAAGGACATAAAACACACACTCACACACTCCATTATCAGCAGGTTATCATGCTCTTTAAGCATGTGTTTGCAGGTATGTGCACATTTGAATGAAAACAATCATTTTCTGTCGTTGAATTTGATGATTCATTGCACATATACAGGTGAACTCATGGGTCATATCATCATGGATCATTTGATCAATTGTACATCGGTTCCCTGTGTGTTCTCAGACACTGGGCAGAGCAACATGTCACATATCAATGGAGTTTGGAGGAGGGGTCCACATGTGTACTCCACCAGCAGACCTTAACCTGATTTAATTATGAACGATTAAACATCACTTAGTGGATTCATTCAGCACCACGGCTGGTGCAAAGACACAGCATGTAGGAGAAAAAGAGCAGTTTATCTTTTGTTAGAAAAAAAGCTAATATAGGCAACATAAAAGAATGTAAACAAACAAAACGGTGTGCAAAATGTCAATTTCTTCACTCTGTAGGAAGACGAGAAAAGCCAAACAGTTTGGGACTTCAGACTAGAAGACCAGTGTGTTGCTGATTCACAGTGACATGGTTTGGAGATGTGTCCTTTTCTGCATCCTCATGAGAGACTTCCCTTTATCAGTTCAGTTCCCTCTTGTTTTGTGTGACTCTGAGCTGGTAACAGAGTTGATGTTTTTTTTTGTTTTTTTTTGCTCATGCAGTTTTGTTCCACAATCTTGTGAGCTGCTGCTTTCAGTGTTCTTTGAAGTGATACTTTCAATCAAATCACTGCTGGCTCTCGGGCTGCACAGTAACCCCGGAGAGGAAATACCTTGAAGCAATCCAGTCTCTGAATGTTTACATTAACATGGAAGGAGTCATTTAACACTGAACAGACAAATATACAGTGTATAGAAAATTAATTGCTGTTGATTGTCCTGCCAGAGCGATTGTGTAGTGGCAGTAATATAAGTAATGCGTCTCTGTAATTGTTGTTTGTTCTTGTTGTTGCAACATGTGGGATTTAGAGCATTGCCAGGAACATTCAATTCTCTTGTATGAGCTTGTTTATGTAGCAATCTGTGGCTTTAGTTAACAGTTAAATAGAGGCACTGCATTACACTGCAGATAAGCTTTATTGTTGACGCTGTTGGAGACTGACTGGAGCTTGAACTCCTAAATCGTAAATATTTGCTGAAATCTCCAGTGACTTGTCAGGTTTAATCTTCTCCACCAGAGGAGTTTGAACCTGATAAGTCAGTCGAGTCTTTTGGATTTGATAGGGGAAAAAAAAGCAAGGTGACAGGGATGACTGGCCATGTCACAACAATGCTGTCACTGTGCTTTTAATGCTTACAGGTTGAGACTTGGAAGTCAACTGCATGTGCATCGAAGTGTTGACATCCACAAGACCAGCTCTACCTGGAAGAAAGAGTAAACTCAGCCACACCAGTGCTGGTTTAAAGGGTCTGACCCACCATGTGATATCATGGGGAAATAAACAACAGTACATAATAACCTCTGAAGGCCTTTAATATGGAATGTTTTGTTGGTGGGCTAAAAACATATTCACTTTCTGCTGGAGTGATGAATGTGAGGATTGCTCTCATATCTGTCTTTGTCAGCTCCCAGTTAGCTTAGCTTAGCATAAAGACCTAAAGCCAGTGGAAACAGCTAGCACGACTCTTTAATGAAGTTATTAATCCACCTGCATATATAGAAAATGTACTAATTGATACACCTTAAATTACATTCCTCTGATGACAAAACTAGCTTATCCCGCACACGATATAGTAACGCTGTAAACCTGCTACTTTCCTTCTTAATAAAACGTTTGTTTTTTCATTTCAATATTTTGTAATCTTTGGAAAGCTGCTTCGCCATTTTCACGTCATTTTGCTCTGCTGACTAGCAACTGTAGCTACACATGTAACATTCAGGTATCAGAATTCACTTCCATTAGATCTCATTACATTGTTTCTCGTCTGCCTTCTCTTGTCAGTGACGTTAAATGTTATTCTGTGAATTTGCTAATTTACCTCCAATAACCATGAATGTAAATAGATTTGTACATACCAACAACAACAAAAATGTACAGAGTTTTTTTTTAAAGTCACAAGTGTTGCTTGATGTTATTTGACCGTGTTCTGGTGACCTCGCATGATTATCTTTGTATCAATGATACTTTATAAAAAAGTTGGACGATGATTCTTCTGTGTGCTTACAGTAAGTATTCTGTATTAAAGTAGACTTTATATAATAGAGTTTTTTTTGTGAACTGGACATTGTGTTGTGTACATTGAAGGTTGAAGAGTTGAATATTATGGTTTGTCTTCAGTGGGCAGAACACTCAGGCAATGCACTGCATTGTGAAGCTTCAAATGTATGGCGAGTATTTATAGTTGTAAGTTAAGAGATGTCTACAAAAAAACCCACCTCTTGATTTGATATGACTTCTTTTGTGTATTATTATTTATTATTATTATTATTATTATTATTATTATTGTTGTTGTTGTAAGTCATTTGCTGTACAGTGTATGTAAAGATTGTTTTCTTGACAGGAATTCAACTTGCCATAAAATGTTGTCATGTTACGCTCAACCTGTTTGAAATAAATGAGAGACATACTAAATGGTGGAAGTTTGATTTTATACAGTGAGGTCATGCTCTAAGACTTTCCGCACAAAGAGAACAATTTTGTCCTCACTGACAGCTACAGGAAACATATTGTTGCTCGAATGAGGCTTATTTTCATAAGTGCTTTTTGCAGCTTGACGAGGGCACGGCCTTATGCTGATTCATGTTTCATGTCACCCCCAGAGGAGCTAATCTAAACTGTAGATTCAACTTGTTTGTGCAAATATGCTAATCCCTGTTGGTGGAAAACTATTCAACAAGTTGCAATCAGTCATTTGAAATTGCCTTTTTTTTCAATGAATAGTAGATCAGATGTCTGTGCATGCAGGCATACGGCTCGATCTTCCAGCTATATTTAAGTGTAATACCAGAAAGAAGCACACAAAGTTCTTTGAGAAACAGTGTGTTTTCAACAGCTCAATAGTTTAAAATACTTCTTTCAAATGAATTGCTTCCACTTCAATATGAGCAGCTGGAGATGCTGCTGGAGCAGTTCTTTTTTACATCATTTGGTTTGAAGAAACATCCGAGGATGCACTGGGACACATCATCAGTGATGTATCCTGAATATAACAGGTGTTAGGGGTCTCACAACATCAGACATCCTATCTCAAGGGGTGACCCAGGCAGGGTTGATCAGGGTTGATGACCTCATGATCCAAAGCCACCTCAAGGCCCTCTCTGCATGTTGGTCTTGATAGCTCTCCATTTGGCAGCTTCTGCGATGTAAAGACCTTGCACAATGTGTAGCCTGCAAAGCCTCTACATCCCATCTCGACAGGCTCGCAGAAAGCTTTCCAGCCCCGCCCTAACAGCTACTGGTTTTTGAGCAGCTTGCGCTGATTCGCCTCTTCGATGCATGTCCCAGGGGACCTGCTGGGAAAAGACCGATGTAAGCATCTGGTGGCAGCATCTGAAGGTGAGGTAACATGGTCTGGATTCTTGAGCTGCCTGCCCAAGTCAACTCATATAGCTCAAAGTCCGATGCAGATGTGAGCAGGCCGGCTGCTGGTAGTCTTTGGCTGTGGTTGCTCTGCAGGTCTGACAAATGTTGTTGTTAGTCACTGCTCTGGAGACGGCTTCTGCCACTGCTTTGAGCACCTGGTCAATGCTGCCAGCTGTAGCGGCCCTCTCCAAGAGCTTGTGGGCAGCTGATCAGGATGTGCTCCAGTGAACCCTAACCAGGCAAAAACTCTTGTCCCAGGTCTGGAGATTCGCTGGGCTAGGAAACACAACAAACTGCTTGGACATTTAAATGACCTTTCAGTTTCAGTGCTTTTTTTCTATACACTTTGAGAGTTGTTTTTAACCCAAAATCCCCCGTGAGAATTATTGTCATTCTTCTACAAATTGATGTGAGTGATTTAAGGTTCTTTCTGTACAGAATAATGAATGAATAACCTACATGTACCAAGTAAAACATGAATAATAGAAATGACAATTGCCATATCGGTGTAGTTACAACATCATGTAAACACATTGCAACAATAATGGGAATCTGAAATGAAACTCTGATTGTAAATGTGAATATATTGCAAATTATTTTAAAATTTGCTCTGAAAAGTTTTGGATTGAAAAAAAGTATTTAAAAAGAAAGTTTTGTTGCCATTTGCTTCACTTAGAGCAAGTGAAGCAAATGGTGAGTGTACGTTTAATTGAGTGGGACATGATGTGCTAAAATCTGACTGCTAGCTTTACTTTGAAGGTTAGACTGGATTTGACCTGTAATTCGCATGAGCTTAAAAAGAATGAAGTATTCAAATTTTGATATTAGCCTCAGCTCCACAGCTCAAACATTGAAGTCATGAATAGAAAGCTGTAAAAGAGACCTTTTAGCCTGAGGGTTTCAATCAGGAGAGACCTACCCATGAATGAACAACTATTTCATTTACAAGTTTGGAAAAGAGAAAATGTGCAATGCAATGTCTACACGCTGGTGGTGGTGATGAAGTATGCAGGATGTGAAGAGGACTTCTAAGGAGCTGGACCTGGACACTGTTGAGGTGGAATGGAAGTCACTGGGGAGAAGGTGGGTCACATCGATCAAACTGAAGTGACAAACTGACAGGGAAAGAGAGGAGCAGATTCTTGATTGATTACCGCAACAGGATAGTTGGTCCATCAAGGCCTTGGCCGAATCTGATTGGTTAAGTACTTAGAGAGTAAACGCCCCTCATCAGCTGATCACCTGAGCAGTAATTTAGAGGGAGAGGAAGAGAGGGAGTGACATGAATGAATGATGACTGATGTATGAACGACAATGCAACAGTCCTCCTGCTTCAACTTACGCTGAGCTTCATAAAGCTAGATTTGAACTTTAAAGTGTTTTAGTGCTTTTAATAAGAATTTAAATACTTCTTGATCCACGGAATAAAAAAGCTCTAAATCAATCTTTGACAGGTCAGATATCAAAGCAAACTCTCGTCTTAGCTCCTCTCAGTTCCACTGTCTCTTCAGTGACAGTATTTTAAAGGTATGACTGACCCCCGGAGTCTGCTTTGAGGTGATAAAAAAATATATATTTGAGTGAATCCATATGGTCCATGGGGTTTACACGTTCACTCACTGCTTTTGAAAGCAGCCGAGCTCTTCATGTGTGAGCTCAGAAGAGTGAATTTAGCCAGGTCAAAGCTGTGTTTGCGTTAAACAGATTAACAAACACACCCTGTCATGCCTGCTTTTCCCCACCGGCTGCTCTTTAAACTGAACTTCTTTTTCCGCTTGAGGTGGGAATGAGCATAATGCATATTATATGATTAACTATTCATAGAAACTGTAATGATTGTAAATCGAGGGATTTTTAAGTGTTGAAAACCTCATGGCCCATGTGTTTGAAAATGCAGAGCAAAGACATGCAAATTCTGGATGTTGCATATTCTGCCATCATATTATGTTTTGGACACTTAGATTTGGTTACATCAGAGGATTTTCCCACTTTTCACAGGCAGAGCTAGAGGAATAAATCATTCATTTCATGACCTTTGTGGTCTGGATTTGCTCCCGTACCTGTTCAGTTAATACTTCACTGCAGAGAGAAACAGTGTTGGGTTAGCTTGGATATATCCGAGTCAGTTTTTATCTTCACATTTGCATTTCACAGAGAATGTATAAAGTATTACCTTGAACTTCATGAAAATTGTAGACTTTGGGAAGTTGACTTCTATCCAATGTCAGCTGGTATGTAAGAACAAAAGAAGCATGGACTTAAAGTACGCAACCAATAAATATAGACAAACTTTGTGCTATATGGTGAAGTATTAAAAGAGTATTTAGTACGATAGAATATCACTGGGATTTAAAATACCCCACTGTACATTGAAAAGAACCCACTGGTTTTTCATTTAATTCAGATGCAACGACTTTATGGCGCCTGTGTTTTCAGTTGGATTCATCCAGTCCCACTTTGCCCAAAAGAACCAAAAAAAAAAAAGAGAGGAAAAAAATCAGTTATTGAAAGCAGCTTCATAGAGATGTTATTTTTACTTAAGTTCCTCGCTCCTAATAGTGCATTGTTGTACGCTCAGTCGTGATGAATGCGCAACACACTTCATTAGAGCGCCATTCCTCTAATGTGTGCACTTACAATCAGCATTTAAGTGATCTGTCATCTCCAACACAGACTATAGAAGAAAGTTACGCCACGCTCTTTGATTCATGTTTAACCGGGGTGTAAACAAGCTCAGGGAAATTGTTCTAGCGCATTTACACAATGACAGGATGCTTGATCTTGCCGTTGACATGAATACATAATTCAGTTGGTGGGAAAATATGAGTCGTGTGGTGATTACAAAGTGCCGCCTGGACTGGGTGAAGTGACTGCATTGTATTTAGGTCTGGGCTGGTTTGGCAGGGAGAATGCTCGCTTGGTGTTTGAAGCTGGTAGTGTGTGTTGTAAAGAAAAGGAAAGAACAGCGATTGTTGATTAGCCTTAAAATGAAACCTCATTCCTATCTGTGTAAATGTGCAAACATCAAATGCCTGTTTGTCTCTCAGTTTGTTTATCTATAGCCCTATTCTCTCTCTATTTCTGACTTTCCCTCTATCCCACAATTTGGCCCACAGCGATGCCCACAGACTGTACACCTATTAGTCTATCTCTGCTCAAGCTTTGGACTTTTAAAAGGAAGTTTTTAATTCCTAATATTGTCAAGTGCTTCATCATGTTGTATGCATTTGTGTGTTTCTAATTGATATATCAGAGAGTAGGTCTAGCACTGCTCTTTTGTAGAGTGCCTTGAGATAACTTTTCAACCCTGCTTTTATTTTGAAATTAAGTTTTCAAAATAAAGGACTTTCTGGTAGATCAAAGGTTAACTTCACCACGGAAAAAGGAGCTCGTCATGGATCAAAAACTAAAGAGTGCAAAGATTCAGCAGTGTACTTACATTCTTCTACAGGGGACACTGAGAAAACTTACAGCCCTAATATTTATGCATAATGATTTTTTAATAAATCAAACAGAAATAATGACAGAAAAAATCTGTCTGTGCAAAAATTAGCATGTGCATTATTCAATCCCTTTCAAAGTCCAAGTGCATAGCATATGCAGCTTTATAGGCCTATTCTATCTGTGAGGTAGACGTATATTAAATGTAGCGGCTCCACTGACTAAAGCTCATAGTGAAATAATAATTCCACTGGACTTCAATGAATAAAATGCATGTTTAGAAGCATGACTAAGTCTGGAAATTAAGATGGTGGACAGGCGTCTGAAAATAACCTTGACTTTGCTTTCATCCGTTTGTCTCTCTCACTAATGTTTTCATTCTGGAGCTTGCAGCGTCATAGATAGCTCTTGAAGGAGCAGCTACTTTTGGACTGATAGCAGAGTCAATTTCAGACTATCTCTGTGTTCACTGAGTTTCAGAAGAGTGGGAATAATTGGATACATGCAAAAGAAATATATCATTGAATTATGTACTTTCTTTAAGGATATATTCAATTTTTTTTTCCATTTATTATACAGGAAAGTTTGAAAGTAACATTAAGTTGCAG